CCAAGGAAACTCCTCCTTTTCTGCATCCTCTATCTATTGAAGTCTCAGGCATTCCCTTAGAAGTTCATCTTTGGGAGCTCCCTTCGTAATGTACTTGTGGATGCTTTGTGTTTTATCCAGGACTGTGGCCTTGATACTCATCAGGCAGGTGTATACTCTCTGGGTGCTGGATTTTGGATGGAATCCATCATTCATAGTGAGTAGTTTCCTGGTCTTGACATCCATGGTGACCAGTTCTCCTCTTGGCTGGATTATTATTCCAGCTGGTTACCTGATGACCGGCAGGGCATATGTGTTGATGGCTTGGATCTTGTTCTTGAAATTAAGCTGGGACTTCAGGACCTGTCTGACTCTTTTGAGTCATAAGGGAAATGATCCTAGGAGAGAGAGAGAGATATATATATCTATATCTCTCTTTGTTATGTACATCCCTGCCTTATCATTTAGACTGAACTTGCTTTTTTAAAAGAAAGTTATAGTGTCATTAATATAAACATGTATTCCTGACCCTATAGTTGTAAAAACATAGTTTAGGCTCTCTTACTGCCTTTAAAAAGTTAGTTTACTTACTTTTTCTCCAGCGCTGCACGAGCTCCTTCTCCGTGATTGAGATCATCAAATTTGACGATCTTCACCAACCCAATGCTTAAGAGGCTATTGTGCATGCGTGGCATAATTCAGCACTGCACCAGTCAACATCTCCTCGTAGAGATGCTTTGAATCAATGCATCTCTGTGGAGAACTTTCAGTGCATCTCTGTAGAAACGTTGAATGTAAGTGCTGCACACTGCAACATTGGCCCAGGAAGCACCTCTAGTGGCTGTCTAAGGCTGCCACCAAAGTTGTTCCTAGGCAGCAATGTCTGTATGTTTTTTTCTGAAAAGGCAGTGTTTACTCAGTAAAGTAAATTTAAATCGATCAAAACATGAGATATGTCAATTTTGCTTTTATAATCAATCGCATTGTTGTTAATATTTTTTATTCTGTATTTTGATTCACATCAGCTTTGAAAATTGCAGTTGTGGACATCTATCATTCCAGGCTGAAAGAACGACAGAGAAGGAAAAGGTTGGTGGTAGTAATGATATACCATTGATTGTAGAAATATGTGTTGGAAATGATATACTGCTTTTGCTGGATGAACTACTTGCAAGTTCTGTTCACCAATGAATAGGCTCTAACATAATGTACTGAAGCCATCCAACAGTGATATGTTTGCTTATATGAGAACAACTGGCTCTTTCACATAATCTGCAAATTGAGAAATAATGGGAATTGGGGGCACACCCGGAACATGCATTTCTTAGTTGTAGTGCTGCCATAAAGGACAAAATATATACAAAATACAGATTAGGGAACAGCGCACACACACACACAAATACTTTTTTTTAAATATTACAAGACTTCTTAAAATCTTTGCAAACAATTATGGAGATTCAGTTACACCATATGGCCTTATTGTGTTAAGCCCACCACAACATCACAGTACCCCAATATAGGTAGGTCCTACTCTTAGATGCTAACTTCAATGCTTACTGCTTCAACTTCTTCTAGAAACTCTCCTCAATTTATGCTTTCCCTTGGATACCTCCAAAGGGCACCTTAAGTGGGTTGCTCAGCCCAATAGGAATCTGGTCTGGGTTCCAAATTTCTTTGCTGAGATGGGTGATTAAGTAACTTTGTAAAATGTTTAAATAAAAATAAAAAATCTTGTGTGCTCTGTTCCCTAATCTGTAAATTGAGAAATAAACTCTGTAAAGCACAGGTAGCGCCTCTACTAGCAGGTTACTCTGAGCCGCTGTGTGCCACTTGAGTTTGGCTCCACTGAGCTAAACTACCAGGAAGCAAGAGGACCAGTTGTCTGATTTTCTACTGAAACCTGTACATTTTGTTAAATGAAAAAAAAAAAAAGGAAACTCTTCACACGTAAAGTACAACCGCAAGCTGAATTGCCCTAGGTGCCTGGAGTGTCCCTTTAACCTTGCTACATTCCACCCCACCTGTTCTGACTGTCATTCAGACAAACAGTCCTGTTGATTCCTTGTAAACCCAAAAGGCAGTCAATTGCCATGTACCTGCCTTGCAAAGAATTCTCATTGTGCTGCGTTGGGATGTCTGTGATTGGACAGCCAAACATGTCTGGGCTGGGAAAGAAGGGGAGGGATTTCAAAGTATGCAGATGACTTTTTTTTTTTTAAATATAACTCTAATGATAAATGCATAATTCAATGCATGCAAGTTTTCATTTGGGGTATATCTATCTTATGGTTTTGTGTTTAGGCAGTGTAGTGTCCTTTTAAAAGTTTCATTAAATTGATTAGTAACCTCTAGATTCCTGCACGTGCATATAGAATAGTAAATGTATGTTTGCTGGTCAAATAGATCTGTTTTTATTGTTGGCTTTATTTTTTTGTTATAGAGTTGTGTAAATATGTGTTTTTTTTTTTTTTGGTTTTGTTTTTTTAATTTTTCATACTTTATCCCTTTTTAGAATTATAAGAGAACATGGTCTTATAAATCTCAGAAAATTTCAAAGTAAGTCTTTAATTTTTACGTGCAAAATAAGTGGGTAGTTTTATAACAATTTGACACTTATTGCATTTATATTGTGTGGTTTTCTTTTTGTTTCAAATTCTACATCGTTATTATAATCATCCTTAAATATGTAATCCTATTTCCACTTAGTTTTGGAAAGAAGATACCTTAAAGATATTCAAGAACTGTATGACACAATGAGACGATTTGCCAGAGTTCTGGGACCATTAGAACATGATAAATTCATTGAAAGTCACGCTTGTAAGTAAAAATTTTAAATTATGTACAACTGATTTGATTATAGTATTACTCTTTACTTTTTGATACTTGTATTTAGGAGTGTTTGTGGGGGTTATTTATTTTTTATAATTTTTTATGTTTTATTTAGATAAGCTAAAGTGTGTATGTTTAACAAGTTGTTTACTCAGCCTTCAAATCTTCAATCAAAGGCCTCTTAACCAACTTGTTTCATAAATCAAATAGGTCTGTCTGTGATTGTATTAGTGTGTGTTTTTGTTTGCCTCATTCTCTCGCACACTCTTTCTTTCACATTCTTGCTGTGTTACATATTTTTGTGGTTTAAATAAACTTGGCTTTTGCAACCAAAACAGCAATTTTTTTTTGTCATGAATTCAGCAAGTGTATTGTGAGCTTAACAATATGCACAAGATCAGAGACCCCATTTAGTTTTGCTGTAGCTTTGAACTAATGCCCTGTTTGGGGCATAATTACAGTCTAGAAAATGTTTGCCCACGCCATTTCACCACCGTCAGTCAGTCCACTTGGCGCATGTCTCAAGTTCTTACAGTTTTGTACATGCCTGCAGTAGCCTCATATATTTCGTGTTAGTTGAGAAGTGGAATCCAGCAATGGTGTCTCCTGCCGTAATCCATCTGTTTGTTTCAGGTTTTAAATACATTCAGAAACGTCCTTTTTAAAACCACATTTGTAAGAAGAATTGAAGTATTTGTGGCTTTTTAACCATCTTAAATCAATATAGCTCTTCTGACTTTTTTCATTAACAAGATGTTTTTGCTGTCGCTAGCTAGATATTATTTATCTGTAGGTTGAATATCTATGGTGCTAAAATTTCAAGCGCTCGTGGTTAATGAGATGCTAAAACTACCAAATCCTATCCAACAATAATAAGCACACCACAGTTAGTCTCGTCAGTTATATGTTTCCTTATCCTTATATTTGGTTAAACAGCAACTTATTTTAGTAGCGATTTATGTATGTTTGCTGCTATTTGTGTTAATAAGCATTTGTGCCTGATAATGTAACTGCTAGTGTGTGGTAGTCAGTGCAACACACACCACAATTGTTTTTTTTTTATCCTTGATTTTACCATTATTAATGCAATTCTGGTCCTAAAAATGAATCTCTTTTGCAAATTATACATGTACCCTGCTATACATGTATTCTCCTTATTTCTCACCTTTTACAAGCATGTGTATTTTGTTTTGTTTTTCTTTCAGTGGAATTTGAATTGCGCAGGGAGATCAAGAGGTTACAGGACTATAGAAGTGCAGGGATTAAAACTTTTTGTAGTAAGTAAATGCAATGAAACGGTGCAAATTTCCCAAGTACCTATGTAAAGCGTCAAATCTAATCAAGGTGTGGTGAAGAAGTGGGAGCAACAAATATACAAGAGAAAAAGATCCAATCGGTGGAGGCTTTTTTTTTTCTGCTTTTTTTTTAGTTAAATGCCTCCACCAGGTGCAGTAGCAAATATAGCTGCTTTAATTAAAGAATACCTCATAAAAATGATAAACCACAATACTGATAAAACCTCAAGCTTATTGTTTTTATCTGACCATATTCTGTGGAGGCATGTAGGCAAACCAACTGGATCCTATTCTCTCATATGCTCTCAGATTGAGAATCTGCAGTTTCTGACCCCTAAGAGTGTGTAAATGAGGTAGGACTTAATTTCACATTGCCTATAGTTATTATTTGGGCACCAGTCTTGTGACAAATTTCAACATGCAGCAAACATACAACCAAGGTGTTGGGATATCTGCTACTGATGCCATTAAAAACTACTTGAAAGCATTGCACAGGAAACTCTCTTAAACTGAATGCACTTTTAACTATTTTTGTTGCATATCTGGGTGCACCTCGACTATTTAGTTATTAATAGGTTTAAACATTTTCTGATTTTTGTTTTTATGTCCTTTTAATCACAGGTGCAAAAGTATATGACAAATTAAAAAAAACTCGCGATGAAGCACGCTTGAAGAGAACCCTGCTTTCTGAGGTCCTTCAGTATATTCACGATGGCAACGCTTGCCAACAGTGGCTCAAGAGACAAGCAGCTATGTATGGTCAATTTTATGTTGTCCTAATTTCCTGTGTTGGTCTTTCCCTCAAACATATTTATATAATTTTATCAATGAATCTTGCTCGCCAGGGACCGCATACAATTTTGGACTGTATGTTTAAGTGGGAAACAGTTTGACAACTTGTAATCAGTGTTTCACAATTGATGCAGAGCTATATTTCCATGTCTTGCACACTTTTTAGAAATTTTCACGTGTGGTAGGGTTCCCAATTACACATTTTCCTCTGTTCGGCACATCACATTGACACATGCAAGAAAAGAGCATATTCTGTGAACATGTTCCTTGGCAATAGCGCATATAACATTGCCTCACAGTGCTGCATTAACGAACAGTGATAGGACATTATCCCTGCTGCATACCAGCTTGCTAAAGTTCCCCCATTCCCTCAGGTACTGTGCAGTCTAGTATCCCTACTATTCTTCTCTCTGACCACACACTTTCCCTCCTTGTCTGCCTCGTTGTGTTTAGCACACATTATTTTATGTGTATGAGTATAGTATCATACAACATCCCTAGAATTTGCAATTTTTATTTTTTTTTATCGAAAATACTTTATTTCACCAGCAGCGTTTTCTCAGTCTATTATAACATGTTACTGCCCTTTACTTCCATGGAGTGTTCTCTACCACGTTTCATGTCTCATCTTTGTGTATAGTTATCCTATGTTAGGACCCTGAGCAACAGCTGACTTATTTCTTTATCTTTCTGGTGCTTGTAAACACAACTCTGTTACTTAGTCTGCACAGTTGTCTATTATACTGTGCAACTACTCTTCAGACCAGTACCCTGTTTGCACATACTTGTGTGCTTTTATCTACTGAGAATGTCATACCCAGACTTCTTTGTCACACCTAGCTCTCCTACTGGACAGAGTATCCACCAAGAAGACCACCACATTTGATTAAGTTTGGATATGAATGTAAAAAGTTTATTTCCTTATTGTGGGGACAGTGAAATTTTAAATAAAATCTGGAATTTTGTTTGTAAAACATAATGCATAATCACAACTTTGCAATTGTAAAATATGTAAATGTAGTCATTCGTGTGTGTCTGGTTTTGTACATGTCAAATTATCTTTTTCTCTGGATTGCTTTTATTTAATATAGGTTATTTAAAATATGTTTATGATTTGAATGTATCCTCCTGTGTTTTCATATTTGATTTTGTCTATCCAAATAATCCTTCTTCTTCTTCTTTTCAGTGATGCTGGTGTGCATCAAATTACACCCATTGTATCTAGTTCAGGTAAATTTCAGGCAAATCTCTGAAGTTGTCAATATACTGTGCCTTATTCTCAAACATGTGCAGCTGGATAAAACATATTTACATTAATCTCTTGGCATCAAAACACATGCTGTGGAGCATAATCTTTTGGGGGTTGTATGTTTATTTTATTCCATTTGTATTCAAATCCAATCCTCAAGGCATACCAGTGTCCAGGTTTCTCTGTATCCCTATTGGAGCAGGAATGGACTGTTGGTGGACTGTTGGTGCACATTGAAGAGTTGAGTCACCGTTCTATTTTATGATCTTTTTTTTAAACGGACTAAATGTTTGTCTTCCCAATCAACCTCAAAGATTGTTATACATTGTTTGTGTAAGCAATAGCTATCTGTAATTATACAATTGATGTTATATCTGTTTTCAATTGCCACCTCATGCTTTCATCACTAAATATTAAAGGGAGCCTACAGTCCCAAAAAGAACAATCCTTTTTTTTTTTTTTTTAAACGGACTAAATGTTTGTCTTCCCAATCAACCTCAAAGATTGTTATACATTGTTTGTGTAAGCAATAGCTATCTGTAATTATACAATTGATGTTATATCTGTTTTCAATTGCCACCTCATGCTTTCATCACTAAATATTAAAGGGAGCCTACAGTCCCAAAAAGAACAATCCTTTTTTTTTTTTTTTTATAAAGGACTATAGGTTCCATACTGTGCCACTAAACCAAACTAAAGTTAAATAATGATTCTTTATATAGTCTCCAATACAAGGACTCCTCTGCTGCAATTGCCTTCTCCACCTTTAAAGATGAGACCATATCTGCTCCAATAAAATTCTTCTCCTAGAGGAACAATTGATTAGAAATAGGCATGCACAGCCAAACACTGCGCTCCTCCAATCAAATGTTGCAATTTGATTCCAGGACTGCGCTAGACTCCGTTCTGGAGAAGGAAGCACCTCTAGTGTTTGTCAGGAAGACCAAACCACTAGAGGTGCATTTAATCCTGCATTGATGTAGCTGCTAAATTGCAATGGTTTACATTAAAGGGTTAAAATGGCAGGACCACTGCACTCCTAAAATTTCATTGTGATGACTTATTGATCCTTTAATGTAGTTTACACAATCAATCCCCTGCATTAGTTTATTTGGAAGTTTTGATGGAAGCATCTGTCTTGGAAGCTTTTAAAAAAAAGAAAGTGGGTGTTGGATTCATAACTATATACAATTGCATGAAAAGGCACAGAAAGGTGTAAGGTGGAATTGAACAGAAATTAACTGAAAACAGGTTTGTAAAATGTAAGCTAAGCTATGACTGTAGTCTGGTTTTGAGTTTTTGTTTTTTCTCATCTCCTATTATGGCCTAAATTTTAAATTTCATTTTTCCTGTAGGCTCTAGTGGTTATGATGCTTGGAGTGTTCCTTTAAGGCATGTTGCTGTGATGTATTGTATTTCCTAAATGTGTCTGTCTTGCAGGCAGAAGAAGTGCTCCTCCTTTAGACCTAACCGGGCTTCCTGGTACTGAAAAGCTGAATGAAAAAGAAAAGGAGGTATGACATTAGTTGAAAGTTCAGATTTCTCGTGTTTAATAGACAATAATGCATGTGCTTTCAATAAGTATATTCTTGTTTTAGCATGTAAGAGTAAGGGCTTACTTCATCAAAAATCTCTTCGATTTATTTTTTTTTTTGTTTCAGTATTTTAAACAATCATAATTGTCATTTAGAGCTTTGTGTTGGCAAAGTGTAATACATTACAGGCTTGTTTTAAATCCTTGCTGTTTTGTGAAAACCCTCGAAACCCTAATACAGAATAAATTGTGTGCTAGATAAATCAATTGGCTAAAGTATGCCAGCTTGTATTAGTCAATAGTTATTTGTGAAACAAAATTATGCAAATTTTGCTGTAGAACATTTTCTTTATTTAATTTAACCATTGGTTGAATTTTCCAGTAAACAGGGTAAGCCAGGGCTCGGCAAATACAAATTTCCACTTGCGCCTGGGATTTGCCAGCTCTTTAACGTGGCCGCTGAGGGAGCTTCTTTTTTTTTAATTTTTTTTATTCTTTATTTTGTTGTGTCGATTCAACAGAAATGTCCACATTGCCACAACAGCTTATGCAGGCATACTTAGCAACATATATTAATACAGTAGCTGCATACATATACACATAGCACTTTTTTACATATTAATTGTGTAGTTGGGGTGTCGTCTATTGTTTCAGGCATGTCCAAGACCTGGTGGATTCTGTGAGTGTGCCTTCTTAGGGTTTGTCTTTGGACATGTGTTGTCTTATGAGTCTGTTTGAAAACCAGCTATGGAGGCGTATTTTGTATGTGTGGTGTGAGGTCTGTGGGGTCTCCCCAATGTGACTGTCTGTCTAGTCCCAGGTGTGTGAGGGTGAGTCTTGTCGTGAATGGGGTGCCCTAGGATGGTATGTGTCCCTCATCAGGGATACCCTCCTGTCATAATGGATATGTTTTTATCTGTTTTTAACCATGTTCGTGTGGGGAGATAGGTCAAATGCAGAGAGGGAGCTTTGAAGGCAGCCGCCGCTGGACAGCATGCAGCCGGCCACCCGCGGGAGCAAGGAGGTGGCCAGCTGAGGCAGCATGCAACGGGCCACCCGCGGGAGCAAGGAGGCGGCTGGCCGAAGCAGCATGGAGGCGGTGCACGAGGGAGCAGTACTCTTACTGCAGCTCCTCTCTGCTTCCTTGCTCTGTTTAATGATGCCAGGAGCCGGAATATGAGGTCACTCCGGTCCCGGCATCCTTACAGAGAGCGAGCAGGGAGAAGAGAGGAGCTGCAGTAAGAGTACTGCAGAAAGAGAAAAGGCCCACTGGACCCCAGGGAAAGACCCACTCAGCTCTCCTAAAGGTATGGAGGCTGAGTGGGTTTCAATTAATACAAAAATGTGAGTCTGTGTCTGTCTGTGTGCACGCGTGCCCCCTCCGATCGTACGAGGAATGTGTTTTTACTGACCTTTTCCCCCCAAACCGTGCCACTTTTGCCGTGGCTGGTACGACTTCAGTGGATGAGATTATCAATCTTTATGATCTCAGCTAAGCAGGATTTTGTGCATGCCCAGCAAATGTGCCAATCCGCATCTCCTCATAGGGATGCATTAAGTTAATGAATCTCTATGAGGAACATTCAGCGCCTCCATGCATAGCTTGGAGACCCTGAACGTCGGTGCTGCACATGGTGCACCAGTGACCCAGGATTCTCTAGTGGCCATCTGAGTGACTGTCACTAGAGGTGTTACTAAGCAGCAATGTAAATACTGATTTTTGCTGAAAAGGCAGTGTTTACACTGAAAAGCCTGCATGGTATATAGTCACCAGAACAACTACATCAAGCTGTGGTGGTTTTGGTGTCTATAGTGTCCCTTTAAGAATTGCTTTTTTTCTTGTTGAAAATGACTGGCTCCTAACTTTTTTAGCTGGCTCCTAGATTCCAAACAAATTTGTCAAACCCTGGGGTAAGCCATCAGATCCTGTAGAGCAGATGTTTAACAGTAGGCTGGTTGTAATGTGGGAAAGAGGACACCTATTCTCAAGGAGTTTTATTTGCTGATTGGTAGTTGCTTCCATCTTAAGTGCTGGACAGTTGTCTTTTAAATAGATTGCCCAGACTTTATATACTAAGCTCCTCATTGGCAGAAATGTCCTCATTTATTACTTGGCTTCAGAACAATTGAAATAAAAGATATGTGGACATTCAAGTTGATTCATAACCTTCAAATATCAGAAAGAAGAGGTGCATGAGGAAGTTTTCCACAATCTTCTAAAAGAAGCCATTGACCATGATGAACTTGTTAATCATCAGTAAAAGTCATAAGACCTCTCTAACCATTGACTTATATAAATATATATTCTCACGGTAATTTTAGGTCCACAGGTTCTTGGGTTTAGTTGCTCATTATAATGAGATTTGAGTTAAATTTTCTGTGATTTTGTTAGTAGCTGCTGTCCAGCAGTGCACATGGAAGCAACTGCTTATAACTACTTAGAAATAAGGATTTTGTGGTAAGTTGTTTTTGTTTTTTCTTTATTTAACCAAAGAATGGACTTTGCTCAGGAGTTATAGTTTACCTGTCTGCATATAGCTGTGTATCAATGTTGTATTAAGGAAAAATGTACTGCTGTGCTTCAACTGCATTATTTGGTTTTAAAAGCTATGTTTAACCCTCCTCCTCCCCCCTGACAGACGTCGGGTGGATTTAGAATCCCTACTGATGGGGGCAGATCTCCCGCAATTCTATATCTGGGCCCCAAGGGAGCATAGGGCACTTCTCCGTACAACCTGCCCATCTGTGACCAACTTGATCTGGGTCACCCCTCTCACCCCTATATATCGCAACATAGTTTTTGCCCCGGGCATGAGAGCCAGAGATTTTAGGGACATAGAACATGCTGGGCTCCAGAGGATTTATTAGCTATGTAGTGGAGATACTATAGTCTTTTTACAGAACTACAAAACAGATCAACATTAACTCGTCAGATTTTTTTCAGATATCTCCAAATCTCCAAAAACTTTTTTTTGAACGAATATGCAATGCAGAAATGTATTAAAAAGGCATGATCACTCTGCTCTACTCCCACCTTTACTGAACTACAACTCCCATGATTCTTTGAATTACATAGATAGCCAGAGAATCATGGGCATTGTAGTTCAGCAACATCTGGGGGGCCAGAGTTTGAGGACCCCTGCTCTAGAGGGTATTGATTGGCAGGATATTTGGAAAGCTAACTCTAAAACATCCATCTGTGTCACAATGCAAGAACAATCTTACAAAACGATGTTCCGGTGGTATACCACACCAGTTAAATTGTATTACATGAAGAAAACGTCCACAGATCTCTGTTGGAGAGACTGCGGAGCTAAGGGAACTTATGAACACATGTGGTGGAGCTGCCCAAAGGTAACATTATTTTGGACTGAGGTCCAGACACTAATAGCCCAAATACTCCCTAAACATAGAAGGAATGTGTGTCTATAAGGCGCTTATGATATATTAAATAGAAATAAAATTTGCTTATAGCAGCTACCACATCAAAATAGGGACTCTCTCCCCTATAGAACAATATATAAAGTAAGTGTACACACAGTGTAGGAGGACATTGTGATAATAAAAACCACCACTAGTGTATATGTCAAGCGCTAGAGATATGTAAACTTACCCCTATGGATTAACACAATTTGACATGCAAAGGAAAAAAGTATCACAATCCCTAAACATGTTGACCTGAACCCCTGGACGTTCTTACCCAAACCAATCGATGATTGGACTCTGGCTGAACAGCAATTGTTTAACAAAATTGCATTGGCCACTCGACTGGCTCTAGTCCAAACGTGGCCCTATTCCACCACACCTCCCATAAACATGGTCCTTCAAAAAAAAGAAAAGTATCTTATGGACAAACTGACTGCACAAGTTCAGGGATCCATGAAGGCTTTCTCTAGAGTCTGGGAGCCATGGAAAGACTAGAAGGACAACTAATAAAAAAGGCCCCTGATGCTGCACCAAAGTCTAATCTTGCCCCCCCACCCACCTCTCCTAGAAGATGCTCCTTCCGCCATTGCCGACCAGAGACCTCCGGACCTCTCACTACTTTTCTCCTTTTTCCTCTTTCTCTAACTACTTCTCCCTCTTCTTTACCGAAACCCCTTTTTCCGGTACTTTCTAAAAGGTATAAAATCCTCAGGACCTGAGACAGAGTATTATACCCAACTAATACCTGGCATTTTAGTCTTTATATAAACCAATTTATCACAAAGTGGAGAGAGGCGTTTATTACTACTACTGCATTCTCTTGAATGTTCGATAACCACTTGATCATGAACACCCTGAAATATTGTTATATGTAAATGCTGTTACTCTACTCTCTTTTATATTGTCTGTATATTCCTCTCTGCTATACGATATATTACCGTGATGAAATGCAACTTTCTCTGTAAACTGATGTGTGTGCCATATTGCAATCTGAATGTCTTGTTTTTTTCTGCGAAAAAAAAAGAAAAAAGCTATGTTTAAAATGTGCTTCATTGCAAAAGTAGCCGGAAGAAATGCAAGATATACTCTGAAACACAAAGCTTGCCTGGGCTCATTTGTATTTCCAGCAGGATGTTCTTGAAACATGGACACATGGTTTGTCAGAATTCCTGTGCCCAAAACATACTTTTACCAAGATCTGACTTTTGATGTGCTCCCTTACATACATGTACGTTTCTCTCATTCAAGAAAGCTAGTAGATTGAAACTCTTTATAAAAACCTCACAACTCAAATTATTTTTCCTGTTTGTTTTATTCCGTTATAGTCCATTTTCTAGGTTACTTAGTCCCAGAGTCTTTATTCCCCCCAATAATATGGTGCTAATGCTCAAAAACTGGCAATAACCAAATACACAAAGTCAAAAATGTAATTTCTTTTCTTTTGTCTTGCAGCTTTGTCAAGTGGTGAGATTGGTTCCTGGTGCTTATCTGGAATACAAAGCAGCACTAATGAATGAGTGCAGAAAGCAAGGAAGTTTACGACTGGCACAGGCTCGCACTCTTATTAAGATAGATGTGAATAAGACTCGCAAGATTTATGATTTTCTTATACGAGAAGGATTTATTATGAAACCTCAACAATAACAGATCTACAACAAACATGTGTAATAAGAAAATCGTCATTAATATTTTATTGATGTTTAGTATTATGTTTTTGTTTTGTTTTTTTTGTTCTTTTTAGAGGTCGTGTACCAGTTATTTTACTTAAACCGTCTGCACTTTGACAGTGTTATTGTATGATCATCACAACCATTATAGCTGGATGAAACTTTATAGAATAAAGTTCTACTCAGCAGATTTCAACACACATCTGCCAATATTATTTTCTTTGAAAATAGGATTCTTTACCTTGTTATATCTAAATATATTTTCTTTCTATGGTGCACCATCTTAAAGCTGTCCTTCAACCCAGGAAGAAAGTTTTAAGCACCACTAGTAAATTTACATTCTGCCCCAGGTCAAATACAGGAAGATCATCCTTAAGTTCATATAGTATCCAAATATTGACATGTTATCTTGGAAACTCTACATAGAACGAAAAACTGAAATATAGAATTGTTTTACAAACAAAATGATGTAATTGAACCGACAAAATTGCACAAACGAAGGGAAGGCGTTATTGCTGCTGTATAACAAACTAAAAAACTAAGTTGTAAAATTCAGTGTAAAGTGTTTTTTGTTTTGGGTTTTTTTTTTGTTTTTTTTTGTTTGTTTTTTATATACAACTGTCAATATTATTCATACATTTGTGTATGATTAATGGTTTTGTTAGATAACTGAATAACTGTTTCTAAGTTCTTTAGAAATGTATATTTCCACGTGTATTCTGTTTTTGGGTTGCCACGTACTCTTGTAACTTGGATACTTCCATAAAGGCATATTTCATAATCCTTATCTTTATTTTTTATGTGTATTTACAACCAGTCCAGTTTGTAATGTGTTGAAATTATGTATGTTCAAAAGCCCCATACTTTAATGTACAGTATTTGACAGTAGGGAAAAATGCTTGTTTGCGGGTTTTCCATGATTGTTATTGTATGAGTATCTTTAAATGTTTTACACTTATTGTTTTTTTGGTTTTTTTTAATCTATCTTCATGTTAATGCATGAGACCTGTTTTTGGAGGAATATTATAATATAAATTCCTTTACTTCAAAGGAATACCGTTAAAAAAATAAATATGCATGTCATTTATTTTGCATGTTTTCTTTGGGAGTATATGAAATCTTGGCTTGCTGTACCTGCAAATCTAGCACCTTGCTATTGCAAGTCCTCCCCTTCTGCTCCAGCACAAACACTGGCACAGGAACTATGGCTGTCCAATCACAGACTTCTAAATCAGCTGGATTTGCGTGGCAAGGGCTTTGGGAAATTGCCTGCCTCAGGAGATCCACTCCAGTGCACTAAAATAAGTAACAGGACTGGCTGTCTGACAGTCAGGAACAGGGCCAGATTAAGAGCCCAGTGGACCTGGTGCTGACAATTATGACGGGCCTAATTACAGAATCATATCGACCAAAAACAGTAAAACACTCCCAAGCGTCATGTATCTGATGGAGATGGTGCTGGAGAGAAAGAAAACAGCAGCTATAAGAAAACACACAACCCTAGGCTAATCTCTCACTAATTTATGTTTTCATCTTTCAAGTAAATCCATAACCCCTAACAGCAGTGTCCAGTCAAGCAGGAAGTCAATGGGCACGGTAAAAGGGTGTGCCACTGACACAAATCATGTAACCTGCCAAAAGGGGCGAACATGCCCAAAAAGAGGATATGTCTGCCCAAAGAATTAGAAGGCCAGCCTGGTATGAATGCATGTCAGGCTGCCTGCCAATCATGCAGCTGGCCAACTAAGGGCATACTATGCAGACAGCACCCTGAGCTTGACATAAATGCATCTAATGATGCGCTTGCTCAACGCTTTCTAAGGACTGTCCCCTAGCATCTGCTGGTCCACTCGTCTCCTTACCTTCTTACTAGCAGGCAGAAGCTCCTGGTATATAGTCTGGGACAGAGAAAAGCTGTATGTAGTGAGTGTAGAAGCACATTGTTAGAGAGACCAAAGTCAGCATTACCTTAAAGGATCACTATAGGGTCAGGAACACAAACATGAATTCATGACCCTATAGTGTTAACACCACCATCTAGCCCCCCTGGGCCCCTCATGCCTCCATAAATATAGCAAAATCTTACTGTATTCAAGCCTGAAGCTGTAACTCTGCATGCTGTTAGACTCAGAAAAACAAGCAGTCTGCTGACATCATTAGAAGTGGTGGCCTAATCCAATCACAGTGCTTACCCATAGGATTGGCTGAGTACACTAGGCTGTAATGTAAAGACTGCATTTTCTCTGAAAAGACAGTGTTTACAGCAAAAAGCCTGACGGTAATGATTCTACTCACCAGAACAAATTCAATAAGCTGTAGTTGTTCTGGAGACCCTAGTGTCCCTTTAACTATATTCATTGTCTGCCAGTCCACACAAGTTTTGTTCCAATACATCCCTCTTAAGTTTCCATACTTAAGTAAGGGTATGTGAAAAGTAGTTAGAGTTGCCATCTTTCTTGGAAAAACATACCGGCCTTGCTAATTTGCATAATTAAATATGTATGGGTGACATCACATGATGTAAATCACAAGGAGTGACATAAGAGAAAATGCTGTAAAATCACCAAAAAACTACTTAGTTTGATTCTGCTGTATAGATGGATTCCTCCCAGTGGCCCCATGTCTCCAGTGCCCCCATGTGTCGATTACTCCAGGTCTCAGTGTTCCTATGTATCAGTGTCTCAGTACCCCATGTCTCCCAGTGTCCCCTAGTGTTGTGTCCCCAGGTCTCCCAGTGATCCCATGTATCCCAGGGTCCCCATGTCACTAGGAAGACGGGAAGACCTGGGGACACGGGGAGACCTAGGGACACGGAGACACCAGTGACACTGGGAGACTAGGGGACTCTGGCTGGGACGCATGGGGACACTGGGAAAATAGGGGACACTTGAAGACATGGGGACACAGACACCAGGGACACAGACACTAGAGACACTGGCTGGAGGACATGGGGACCTTGAGACATGGGGGCACTGGGAGACATGGGGACAAGGAGACACCAGTGTCTCAGTGTCCCCATGTTCCTTGCAGCCTTTCCCCCATCCCTTACTTCCCTGAGCTGTAGGCTGTCTCTGCAGGGTGGGAGTTGCTGTCTGGACTCTCTGTAGCTGCACCCCTGCAGATCAGTGAGTATAGATAGTCAGGGAGGGATATGCTGGAACTTCCTATCCTGCCTGTCTCCACACACAGTGACCCCTACTGCCAGTGCTGGTATTGCATAGTAATCTCTTGTTTATACTGAGAAAAATACCAGCATTTGTATTGCCAGTATCACTGTAATATTGGCACCAGCCAGGCAGCCTCAAATATTGTGCCAATAAAATAAAAGCCAGGTGGAATCCCTAAGAGTAGTGTGTGAAAAAAAAAAAAAATGTAAAAAAAAATTATTTTTTTTTAATAAATCAATGGGCCTATTCCATGGGCCTGGAGCTGCAGCTCCATCAGCCCCTATGTTAATCCGGCCCTGGTCAGGAAGACCATGTAGAAGTGCTTCATGTGTTTGGCGTATTTCTTTAATAACATGTGCAACTGTTTTAAACAAATTGGTAAACTGTTAAAAAATTAAAAAGGAACACTAACATGAAGTGAGTCACAAGTAGAAAAAGACACCAACATTAAACAGGTCAGTAGGCTTCAAAGTGGATTTACATTAAACAAATTGTAAATTTGGGCAAATCCCACAGGAAAACAACATTTGTATATGAGCCAAAGCAAATAATGGAGCAGGAATATACAAAAGGTTATTCACTAAACATTATTGTGGTAAACAGAAAACTTTGATATTTTTAGACTCCACTAGCCATGCTGTGTCATTAGCCAAGGTGGAACAGTTTCCCTTATCTGTTATTTTAGCCTTAATTGTATAATTCTGTTTTTAAAGCCATGTTTCAGTGTTTGCAGATGACACAACACTTTGTAAAGTAATAAAATGTGAGCAGGATATTGCTCTGCTGCAGATGGATTTGGATAGATTGGGGGACTGGGCACTAAAATGGCAGATGAAATTTAACGTAGATAAATGCAAAGTTATGCACTTAGAGTTAAGAATGCCCAAGCAATTTACACCCTAAATGGTAGTGAACTAGAGATAACCACACACGAGAAGGATTTGGGAATTGTTATAGACCACACATTAAACAGCAAAATGCAATGTCAATCTACAGTTGCTAAGGCCAGTAAGATTTTGTCATGTATAAATAGGGGCATAAATTTTCGGGATGAAAATATAATTTCGCCTCTTTATAAATTGCTGGTAAGGCCACACCTTGAATATTCTGTGCAATTTTGGGCACCTGTTCTAAATAAAGATATCATGGCACTAGAAAAGTGCAGAGATGAGCTACAAAATTGATAAAAGGAATGGAGCATTTTAGTTATGAAGAAAGGTTAAAAAATTTAAATCTGTTTAGTTTGGAAAAACGGCGCCTGAGAGGGGATATGATAACATTATACAAATATATTCGGGGCCAGTACAAACCTTTATCTGGAAATCTATTCATAAACAGGGCTATACATAGGACACGAGGTCACACATTTAGGCTGGAAGAAAAGAGATTTCATTTAAGGCAAAGAAGGTTTTTTTTTTTACCGTAAGAGCAATGAGGATATGGAATTCTCTACCAGAAGAGGTAGTTTTGTCAGTCTATATAGATGTTTAAACTGCAATTGGATAAATACTTGCAAAAACATAACATACAGGGATATAATTTCTAAGTAGTGCGGTAATAGCTGCTTGATCCAAGGAGATATCTGACTGCCATTTTGGGTCAAGAAGAATTTTTTTCCTAGTTTGTTGATAAATTGGAAGTGCTTCAGACCTTCTTTTGGATCAACAGCAAAATCATATGTGAGGAAGGCTGAACTTGATGGACGCAAGTCTCTTTTCAGCTAGGTAACTATTCTGCGCTTAGTGAATAACACTCTATAAACTGTGAATTGTCTGAAGAAAATTTTAGATTAAAATAAAAATCTAACTGAGCCATTTGAATGAAAATCCCTGGTCAATTCATGGCATTTTACATTTTTGTAAAATAGCCCTGTTCTTTTAGAACAGGTAACAAGGGTTGACTCTGTTAAAACATTTCTTCAGACAGATCTTTCAAAAACAAAACAGGCTTTACCAGTGTTGTATGTGACTCATAGTTCTTGACACCCATTCATTTCACCAGCTCACCATTAGAAAACAAGTAGAATAGGAAGGGTATTGAAATGCATGACTTAGATAGAGCTCCTGTAGAGTGGGAACAATAATTCAAGATTGGGAAAGGGTATCTTCCCCTACACCACTCCCAAAAAACAGTATGCATTTATGTACATTCCATCATGTTTGCCACTTGCATACCAAACCCATAATTTGTCCAAATTCTGTAGAGAAATCACTTCCTATTTATCTTATATTTGCAATATCTATGTATAATTCTTATATGTTAAGGTCATAATTTGTAAACTGATGATTCCCAAACTCAACTCAAAATTATTTTTAAAACAGGACATATCTTGAACATAACACAATATGAAGATATTGTTCTTTTCTTGAGGAGGTATAGCAGCTGATTTTTTTAGTATTACATGTATTTCATTTATACATTTGGTTAGTGTGCAGAGAAAAAATTTGCAACATTTAGATCTTAATAGGATTTTAGGAAAAAAAATAAAATCTAATGAATCAACTGTCCTCGCCTGTTCCCACTCCTTTTTGTCCTGGTTTTAGAACCATTCCTACTAGGTATCAAAGACAACCCGCACCGTCAGGGCTTCAGAATTGCAGGAGTGTAATACAAAGTCTCGCCAATGACCTGCTG